TAATTTAAAAAAATTAAAAATAGATAAAAATATGACTGGTTTGAGAAATACTACACTTTTCCATTGGGTCAACAAATAAATATAAGTGTCAACTATGAGCATAGCTTTCGTTTCGCCACCATGGCCAAAAAAGGATGTTCAGACAAATGTATTTGGAAAATCAGGAGAAAAGGAAATTACTTCAAAATGAGTTAACCAAAAACAGGATTCATAGACATGGTGGCATTTGAGCTAGGACTTGATAGATATGATTTAGTCATGTAGAGACAGCATTTGAAGAGAACAAAAGCCTAACGATACAAGCCTAAGTGGTGGCAACTTTTAAATCTTGATTTTGGTGGTGGTGACATGGGTGTGTACATAATATACAAAAAAATGAGTGCAATTATATGTAAATATTTCCTTAATAAATTTGATACCATTTCTTTGACCTATGCAATGAAAAGTCATTGAGGTTTCCAGCCTGACTAGCTTCAGTGGGGGATGGGGGAGGTGAGCACAATAAATAGAAAAGGGAAATCACATTTAAAGGTAAGATCAAAAGTACTTATTTCATATAATAAATTTTCATAAAAACTGTTTACAATTACATAAAAATAGCAGCTCTTTATTTCTACATAACAGTTTATTTTCAGGGAGAGAACCTATCTAAATTAAGGTTCACTTATTAAAATTAAATGTTACTACGCCCAACCCCCAACCCCCTCAAACAAAGGAATACAATAATAACACTCATTCCTAACAAAGTAACAAAGAATAAAAGTAGTAGTCACCAGGGTTGTGTGCTAGTGATACCTGACAGAATTTAGCAAAATTATTTAAGATTGTATCTAACACTTAGGTCCTGATGATAGAGAAATTGAGAAACTGTCTTAGAATGTGCCTTTTAACCTCTAATTCTTTTCAATGACCTGACCTCTTAACATTTAGTTATTAATTATTAATTACATTTCAAGTGGCTTTTATTACAATTCATAGTTTAAGAATTCATGACTAGGCAGGGAAATCATTCATAGTAAAAAGTAATGCCATTATTAACAAGTCTTTATTTGTTGGATCTTTATAATGCCATTCTTAATAATGTGACCATAAAATCAAATTCAAAACATGGATTATGGTTGTAAAAAAGCATGAAGAGACTAGAAAAAAAGAAGATACACTTCTGCCATAAATCAAAGCATTAGGTCCACAGAAACCCAGGTGGATCCTTAATATTTTAGTAAGGAAAATGTAAGGCTTTGTCATACCAGTTAGTTGCCACTAGATTTTCATGCCCCAGAAAGCTTAACCTGAAAGCTATGTGGGCACTTTTAGAATTGAAGGGGGACTCAGCTCATGTACTACAATTTTTAAATTGTCATTCTACATACATTAAATTAAGTCAGTTCCTGGAACTGAGGTGAAATGGCATGCAACAAAACCAGTTTTACCATAGGATGATTGCCATGAACAGGTTCCTACAGCAATGATATAAGGGAATGAAACTGAAGGAAACAATGTTATTCAAGACCTTGTTGTAATTATAGTTTAGGAGATGTTAACAGGCTGGCAATGAGAAAACAGGCTCTCTGCCCAAAGTTTAGGAAGCGCTTCAGTAACATTCCCAAGGATTTACATGCATATAAGCACAGGAGTAAAAGTTTTGAGAAGTTCTGCAGTTAAAAGCAAATGAAAAGTTAAATTCTTGATTAAACCCAATGTGCTCCCAAATTTGGGGGGGACAGTGAGCCTATTATTGATACTGTTCAGAGGGAAACCATCGGTTTGGAAAACTCTGATCTTATGAAATTACCTTAAACAGATGACAAAACTGAGGCCTACAGACATCGTAACAGGTTACCAGAACAAAGGACTTGAATGAAATCTCTCATTCCTAGGCTAGAGCTCCTTCCACTAGTATAGGGTTCCTTTGATTTTATATAGTGAAACATTTAATTAACATTTAGTTTACATTTAACATTTTTGTTATGGTGTCGCATTTTCTAGTTTCTGTACTAACTTAGGTGTTTTTACTTCTTCCTTCACAACTCTAGTTCCCAATGATCAGGTCCACCTGGAGATTTGCTATTGTTTAGCAATTCTAGGGAATGATGTAGTTCAGAGTGGTAGCTGAAAGTAATCAATAAAAATAATTTGTACAACTGGTGTTAATTCATTCTTGTTATAAGTCCTGTCAGCACAAAGAATCACAGTGCGTTGTTTATCAGGTGGTGAGTTACTTAGCATCAAATGCTGACATGTTATTTATATTAAAATTAAGATCTTCTGTCTGCATAGAAGAGAGCCAACAACATCGAAATTGAGAGACTTTTGTTTTTCTCTAGTTTAGGGTTTATGTGTCAGGCAGTTTCCTAACGTGTGTGTGATAATAAAAATAAGTTTTGATTACTTTAACTACAATCTCCAAATCAGATTTTTCCAATCTTTATGTTTCTCAAGCTCCATAGGACTCTAAGATAATGTAAGAATAATCAACACAAAGTTTACCTAGCTTTAAAAATGTATAGTTGTGTCAGTCCCCTCCCCATAAGGGTAGGGGAGACTGGAGGAGACTGAGCAAGTAACTATGGTTGTGTTGCAACTTCAAAAGCCTTGAGAATCAAAGGTGATAACTGTTAACAACTTCCTTATGACTAATCTGACTTCCTCTAATAAACTTCTTGCACTCCTTTCCAACCCCCACAAGGACCTTTAACTATGGCTGGCACTCCTGTCACAATATTAAAAGGACCCAACAAATCGATGGCACTGCACGAAGCCTTGATTCTGCCAACAAAGAAGTAACCTCGAGTGCCTCTATCACACAGGTGCGACCTCCCCTCTGGCACTGCACACTTCTCGGCCCCAGCGCCGGAGGCTCTGGACCACTCACCCGACGCCCCGGCCACGCCTGCGGCCACCGCGCCCAGAGCGGCCCCCCAGCCTCCTCTTGACTCCCGCCCGGGGAGCCCCGCGCAACTCCCGCTTCCCGGAAACCGGGGTAAGGCCACCAGGCTCCGCGGCACCAGGCGGGGCCAGGGCGGCAACACCCCCAAACGCCACAGCAACCTGACCCGCGGGGATGGCCCCGCGGCTCCAGAAAGAACCAGGCCGAGGAAGCCACTCTCGGCCAGCGGCTGGCCTCGCGACCGCTTTGGGGGCGGGGATACTGTTACCTGCTGCCAGCTCGGCCGCTCCCCGTCAGCGCCGCTCTCCTGGCAACCGCCGCAGCTACGCGGAGGCCGAAAGCCGGAGGGCCTAGTGACAGCTCCCAGAGTGCACCGCGCCGGCGCCCTCGCCCACGCTGGCGTTGACGTCGACCACCTCGGTCTCCGCCTCCGGTCCTTTCCTCGTCTCCAGCGCTAATTGTTGCCACAGCGCCCTCACGCGGACCTTCAGGCAAGCAGCCCAGGGCCACCAGCTGCGGGAGTGGGCCTGGAAAGGGGTTCGTTTAGGGCAGCAGGTGTTTTCAACTCGCTAGCGCCAGCTCTATCCTGCTAGAGAGTTTGGAGGGATGCTAGGAATTGAAAACAGCTCTTAAATATTACTTAAATAATTATTTAAATATAATTTAAATAATATCTTTGTATTCCTTATAAAGATCTTGAGGCTCAGAGAGTTTAGAAGGCTTGGAAGGTTAGGAAACAAACTGATCAGCTTTGGTCTGTTTGATTCTAAAACTCTCTAAATCACAGTTACTAAAAGTAGGATTGCACTGTTTGCAATGAAATGATTTTTTACGAATATGTAAGTATATAAAATATAATTTTAAAAAATAATCAAACGTCAATTATGTCAGTATTTAAGCACATAAACAGCCTTGAGAATTAAAGGTGGAAGATATGAGTAGAAATCATCACTCTTTAACACCATTATTTGAGATGGAATAGCAGTAAACTTAATTCTTTCAACTGTGTTGCTGAATATTGTGAGGGATAAAGAAATTTGAGAAAGCAACGTGATAAATGTTAAAATTCCAAATATCAATTTTAGAAAAATTGTCTTAAGCTAGTGTCTCTAAGGAAGTGTCTTTATTATTTGGAAAATCTTCCAATGAATGTTTGGTGTGTGGTGATAAGGACATTGAAATTATAAAGTAGACCATGAGTAAACATACAATCTTCTGTATATAAGCATTCACTCTTCTTGTTTTTAAAAACTAATAGACTCTTGTTTTTAAAGAATTCTTATAATGCTAGCATGGCCTTATATTTTAATATGTCCCATTATAAGTACATGTAAATACTTATAAGGTATAAAGTTTGTATCAAACATTCCAAAATTATCTTCTGGTAGTAATGAAATTAAGATTTCTCAGAGTTTTTTACTTCTGCAAAAGCAAATAGTGAATACACATGGAATCATTCTCCTCTTCCTTTTCTCAAAGGTTATAGGGATGGCTAATCCTGTGGTTCATGTTACTGGTTTTACCACACTCTATTCTTCATAGGGAACAGAAAACATACATTTTTGCAATTGTTTACATCTTGGAGTGATCGTGTTTAACTTGAGAAGCAATGCCAAGTCAATCCTGGACATCTGTAGCCTCAAACGGAGGAGAGCTACCAAAGGACCGATTGACCATAGCTCACAAAAATGAGATTATCATTCATAAAAACAAAATAAAACACAAAAAAAGATAAAGTGGATTTGGGGTGGAAAATTCACTTGGGCCTCCAGGGGGAAAGCCGCCCTGTATTGCCTTTGTCCATCATCTCCCTCTCTTCCACCCTCAACCCTATCCACGCTAGCCAAAGGAATGTACACCGAGCCTGATTTTCAAAACCATTTCCAGAGAAACTAACGCATCAGGTCTTGCCCATAAGAAGCAGAGTGGGAGGACAACTGGGCTCTCTCTGCCCACTTTCATTAGCGTTCAGACCCAAAATCTTATTTGAAAATACTCACGCCTCTCCGATCGAGTCATCGAGGCGGCGCGCTCTCCGCCAGGCAGGTGGCGCTGTGGGCTGGATGGCTGTTTCAGCCAAGCTATCTGGTCCCGGAGTCCGGGGCCTCCGCCGCCGCCACAGCCGCTGGTGCAGCTTCTGCTCGGGCTGCACGTGTACTGGCGCTCCCGGACCTGGTGGCTCTGGGTGGCTAGGATCTCTGGCTGGGCGCCAGCCACGGCGGTGGCGGCAGAGATGCACGTGTTCCTGGAGGTACGCAGACAGCTGGAGAGCGCGCTGCTGATCCTGGGGTAAGGCTGGGGGTGAAAGTGTGGGCTCCTAGGCTCAGTGCCTGGCTCGCTTTTCCGCTACTCGGAAAGTCTCCGCCTCCCTAGGAACGACGGTTTTTTTTCAATTTCTTTCCTGTTGCTTAGAGATCTCTCAATTACTCCGAGAGGAGTGCCGCCTCTCCTGTAGTCCCCCCCACCCCGATAATCTCATCATTACCTGGGAGCTTTTTAGAAATGCACCCTCAAGCCCATCAATAGACCTTCTGAATCAGAACTTATATTAATTTTAACATGCTTACCAGAATTCAGATGCATATTAAAGTCTGAGGAGCACTGATGTAAAACACTGATGGCTATGCCCGGCGTTTCCAACAAAATAGTGCGGGGGTGGGAAGCCCCTTCCTTGCGGATTTTTGTTATAAGATACGGGATCACCGAAGTGAGAGCTTCCTGTTTTGTAAATAGAGTGGGTGGGTTTTTTTCCCCTCCCCAAATTGTTCTATGTAGAGAAACTGACACAGTCGTTAAAAACGTGTTTAGTACAATGAGTGACTAACAAAATTGCAGACTTACTGGAGTTCATTCTTTGATTCATGTTCCGAGTTCCAGTGAGAAGTCTGAAAACGATTAACTTGTTATTCACTACATAAACAAGAAAATGTTAGGAAAAAGTGTTCTTTTGTACTATGTGATCCCTTCCCCTGTACCACTGTTTCAAATAAATTAAATGTTAAAATCCTTAAAATATTGTTACACAGCGCCACTCTGAGGTAGACTGGTGCTCAGCTTTCTCTTTTCCTTAAATTGGCCAAAGGTGTGGCAGTTTTGGAATTTGCGTGAGAACTGAATTCAAATCTCAGCGTCTTCACAAAGGTAGAATCATTTAATCTGATTTGTTTTCCACTGTAAAACGGGGATATTTAGTTCTCTTCTATCTCTCAAATCATGAGTTCAGATAAGTATCTTTAATTCCATTTTACTTTGTAGGGTTTGTAGGAACCCAAACCTTACACAAAACAAAACAACTTCCCTACTTCCTTTCATCAAAGGGGCCCTTCAGGGTTCTCTTGGATTAGGAGAAGCTACCAAACAGTTCCCCGAAGTGTTTGTACCATTTTACACTCTCACCAGAAAAGAATGAGAGTTCCAATTGCTTCACATTCTCGTCTACATTGTGTTGTCAGACTTTTTTTTATTGTAGTCATTCTCATGGTATAAAGTGATATCTGGTTGTCATTTTAATTTGCATTCCTTGATTGGGTACCTTTTCATTTGCATGTTGGTTATTCATATATGTTCCTTTGTAAGGTATCTTATAATTTTTTGGCATAAAAAATCAGATTGTTTGTCTTACTGTTGAATTTAAAGGGCTCTTTATATCGTCTGGAGAAAACACCTTTTTCATTTCTGCCATGTGAGTATGTGAATATTTTCTCTCAATCTGTAACTTAAGTTTTTATATTTTCTTCATAGTGCGTTTGATGAACAGAAAATTTTAATTATGAAGTCCAGTTTATTGCATTTTTCTGTAATGGTTATTGTTTTTCATGTCTTAAGAAATCTTTGCCAACCTCAAGGTTATAAAGATTTTTTTCCTGTGTTTATTTTTAGGAGTTAATATAGTTTTAGCATTTACATTTAGGTCTGTGAATATGTCAAATTTATTTTTGTGTTTGGAGTGCGGCAGGGGTCAAATTCTTTTTCTTTTCTCCTCTAAGGATATCCCGTGGTTTCATTGCCATTTGTTAAAAAGACTGTCATTTCTCCGATTGAAATAACCCAGTGTCTTTTCAGAAATCAGTTGACTATACTGTTTGCATGGCATGTCTTTTTCTACCCCTTTACGCTCAATCTGTGTCTTTATATATAAAATTTTTATAGCATATACTTGGTGAAAGTTTTTTAAAACCATTCTGACAATTTTTGCATTTTAATTAGACTTTTTAGTTTATATATTGTTATTTACAGTTAACAAATTACATGATTGATTTTTTTTTGTTCCCATTCTTAAAAGAAATGCTTGTAGCCTTTCATCTTTAGGTATGATGAAGTTGATTTTTGGCTAATCTGTTTGGTAGATTGCATAGTTCCTTTCTTTTCTAGTTTAAGAGTTTTAATCATGAATAGAAAAAACATTTTGTATAATCATTTCTTCATGGATTGTGATAGTGATATTTTCCCTTTCATCATTATATCTGTTAATTGCACTAGAAAAATCTATTTATGTTAAACCATCTTAGCATTCCAGGGGTAAGTCTAAGCCATTCATTTATTCAATCACAGATATTTACTGAATTCCTATTCTGGTGCCAAAAACTCAGATTCTAAGTCCTGAGTATACAGGTGTGAACAGAAACAACAGCAAAGACAAAAATACTTCCTTTCATTGAAGTTATAGTTTAATAGTGGCAGTGGGTAGGTAGAAAATATACAAAATAAACAAAATGCTCATTGTATTGAATACAGATAAGCACCTGGAAAAAAATAAAATAGAAAAAGGGATAGAGAGAACAATGACAAATGTCGCTTTTGCATTATTCCAAATGCAAAAGCGACATTTGAGTAATAAACTGAAAGAAGTACGGTATGGAACTCTAGGGTACTGGTAAAGACTGTTGTCCTCTGAGTGGGAAAGGGTGCTTAGTTCCCAGGGATGTGGGTGGGCTGGTGGAGCATGTAGTAAACGGTCATACAGTGAATGGTATGCTGGTAAATGTTTAACAGCTTGCTCTCCATGAAAACAAAGCAACCACACAAACACAAACCTCCCTGATTTGCAACACTCACTGATTCCTACGGTGTAAATACTTTCACTGTGTGTGGTGTCAAAACTATCAAAGTGAGTTCACCTGGATTGCAAGATGCCTACAACTTGAACAGCTGGCTCTGGTGAGACCTTTCAGTGGTCTTACACACCACTGAAAGGATGTCAGCTGGTACTCACAGTGAGATACGATATTATTGGACAGTTTCAAGCAAAATATGAAACCTGAAAGAAACCAAGTGAATAGTGGAGAAAGCCTCAAGTTATAAAAGGTGCCAACAACTGGAATTTCAAAAACTTTGTTTTGGATCAGTAGCAAACTTGAGAGGAAGTTGTTGTCATGCCTGAATATGTTACTATGGATTTCCTACAAATAAGGACATTTTCCTACATAACCACTATGCAACCCTCTAAATTGGGAAGTTTGTTACTGTCACCTTATACTCAAACCTTGTTCAAGTTTTGCCAGTCATCGACATAATATCTGTAATAGCAAAAGAATCCAGTTCAGGATCACGCATTGCATTTCATTGCCATGTTTCCTTAATCTTTTAGAATGTGGAAAAGTTCCTCAGTTTTCCTTGACTTTTACGATCTTGACCCTTTTGAAGATTTATGGCCCAGATATTTTGTAGAATACCCATTCATTTGAGTTTGTCTCATATTTCCTTAAAATTAGGTTCAGGTTATACATCTTTGGCAGGAATATGACAGAAATGATTCTTTGTTCTCATTACATCCTATCAGATGGCATGTAATTTTGTTCAATTAAAGTTTGTATTTACTTTGAGATCTTTTGATAGTATATAAATACCCCGTTCCTCATCAGACTTTCATTTTATTCATTTACTTATTTACATCAGTATGGACCCATAGTCCTTTTTTTCCCCCAGGGGGTTTTTAATCAAATTACACCAGATGTGGCCAGTGGTGGTACCTTTAAGATGATTTCTGTGTTTGTCTGACATGTCCCAATCATTTGTTGATTGCTTCTTTACTTTGTTGAACAGCAAGGAGTTCCAGGCTCATCTCATGCTTTCCCTGTTCCAGCCTGCATTAAGTCATTTTCCCAAGGCCCCCTGTTTTGTTTGTTTTTGTTCATTTGTTTTTAAGTAGAAACTGATCTTTAGAGATCGAGATCAAGATCTGGGTGTGAAGTGTGCTCATTACTATTGGGGTGTCACTTTTCCCAAGCCCATTAGTGAACAGAACTAGAGTTGGTGTGTATGTGTATGTGACATATATGTGATATTTATGTGTGAATGTATGTGTGTATTTATTTGTATCTGTATCATACATACACATAATACATATACATCTATATTTATTACCGTATCTGTTTATATCCATTGAAAACCATGATTTTACACTGATATCCCCAATTCCAGTCTGCCACCGTAGGATCCATTCTGGTTTTCTCCCTTTTCCTCTTTGTGACTCTGTTCCCCCATAGTGACCATCCTGGCTTTCGTTATCCTCATGACACATGTAGTCACCTTCCTGCTGTGTAACTCATATTCCACTGATATCCTTTGCATCTTCCTTCTCCCAGCTCAGTGTTGACACTATCCTCACCTGCACGGGCTGATTGGACTGAATGTTGGTGTCTCCTCAAAATTTGTATGTTGACACCCTAAGCCCCAATATGGTGGTATTAAGAGATGGGGCCTTTGGGAGATACTCATTTTAGTTGAGGTTATGAGGGTGAAGCCACCATGGTAGGAGCCGTGCCTGTACAAGAAGAGACACCAAACATTCCTCCCTCTGCAGTCTATGGATACAGTGAGAAGGTGGCCATCTGCAAGCCAGGAAGAGAGCCCTCCATAAGGACCAGACTTGCTGGCAACTTGGTCTTGGACTTCCCACCCTCCAGAACTATGAGAAATAAATATCTTGTTGTTGAAGCCACCCGGTCTATGGTATTTTGTTATAGCAGCCTGAGCTAAGATAGGATCTGAGATCCGCTGCTGAGCTCTGGGGCCGGGGGGGGGGGGGGGGCTGCTCACAGGCAGAGGGCCTCAGATTTCCTTCTCATTTTTCTTGGAATCTGACATCCCTGGTGGGTGGTCTCTTAGCTCATAGACTCTATGGTGGATGCCCTCCTCACCCAGCTGGGTTTCTCAACTTTATCCCAGGCCACTGGGCTTCTCCCACCTTTGCACAGATGCCTGCCTTGCTCAACACTACGTAATTGGCTTAATTTTTCAGGAAGGGTAAGGGGGAGAGCCGTAAGCCAGAGTGGGGGCTTAGGAACCCAGTACTGACCCTCCTGGCACTTCCAAGTGCCAAATGGAAATTTGAAAACCACTGAAGTAGCAAAGTGGGAAAACTATCTTTAGAGCAGTTGTTGGCAAACTATGGCCCGTGGACCAAATCTAACCATGGCCTGTTTTGGTACAGCCTGTGAGCAAAGAATGGGTTTCACATTTTTTTAAAGTGTTGTTAAAAAAGGAAAACATGAAGTAGTATATGCAACAGAGGCTGTATATGACCTGCAGAATCCGAAATATTGACAATCTGGCTTTTATATAAAAAGTTTTCTGACCTCTGCATTAGAGGATTATTATTTCTTAAACTAGACTTTTGATTGCCAGAAAGGGAGTTGAGGGGAGGTAGAAGTAAGAAAAGGTGGGGGATAAATGGCGATGGAAGGAGACTTGACTTGGGGCAGTAAACACACAATACAATATACAGATGATGTGTTGTAGAGCTATATCCCTGGACACATGCGCGGGCGGTGTTAAAGACTCAGTCCCCACAAAAGGGCAGGAGCCAGCTGCCCCCACCCTGCCCCGCCCAGCCCCATCGACTCCGACTCCCATCCCTCCTCCAGTCCTCTTAGCCCCAAATTGGGCCCCCATGCATTTCTGGGCCCCCATTCTGGCTTTCTCCCCCAAGATCCCCCAGCTCCAGGATACACAGAGGGGAGACCACAGAATGCCTCAGAGGTATCTCAGGGGTTGGGAGAACTGGGAAGTTAATACATTACACCTGAAACCTGTATGATTTTATTAATCAATGTCACCCCAATAAATTCAATAAAAAAAACTAGACTTTTGATTCAGGAAAAGCTTTGGGTTTTTGATATTCTGTATTGCCAATTAAGTGCAGATTCATATACTTTCAAAAGGAACTAGCCAGAAGATAGACTTAAGATTGTCTAAGGCAAATGAAGAGGCCTAACCAAGATTCAGACCTTAACACATGGTGTGACCTCTGCACTTAGATGACATTCCTAACAATGTTCGCATTCTGAAGTTAGGCGACAGAAGTGGATGGCCTGTACCTGCTGTCTGCTTTTCAGAGGGAGTCAGGGTGCTCTGCCCCTCTGGTACAGTGTTAAGCAAATTTTGGCTTCATATGAGGACCATTTCTATATGTGTTTATCTCACTTTGTGCTTTGGTTCCTGGTGGACAGGGACTGTGTTTTACTTTTTATTGCCTAGTATTCGTATTCACTAGATTTTCTTAATTAATTTTTTATTCTTAATATTGACAAGACAGTTTCTTTTCTCCTGTACCTTTTATTTTACATAATTTCAGTTTCCTTATCAATATCCTGCATAGTATATCAAATAACAATACTTGAATTTACTATAAGTAAGACATTGTAAAGCTGGCCTCAGAAGCAAGACTGTTTTCACTCATCCATTCATTATTCAACTAACATTTAGTTAGTGCTTGATCTCTGATAGGCACTGCACCCCTCCCTGTGTTTCCATGGTACCCTGCACTTGTCAGGAATAAGTACAATGTAGTTTTCGTTGATCCCTTGATCATTTCTGTTTACTTTCCTGGAGCAGGGTAGAAAAAATACATTGGTAATTCTTACCTTCCCAGTACCTGACACATTAGAGAACTCCAAAAAGATGGTTTGAATGATGAATGAGTGAGTGAGTGAATGAATATACAAACCATGCTAGGATCAAGGGATGCAAAGATGAATAAGCCACTGTTTTGTGCTGTCTTGTTGAATTCTCTTTCCAAAAATATTTCAAAAAACAAGTGCATGACATTTGACAGGCCAGTGTTTGAAGAAGCTGAAGTCGGAGACTCGTGTGAGGAAGTAGGGGGCATGAGGAAGTGGACTGGCAGGTTGTGCCAATGGAATGGCTCTGGCAGCAGCCACAGGCAGGTCCAGGCTGCAGTAGATGGAGGAAAAGCTTTAGGAGAGAAAAGACAGTTGGGACTCAGGATCATTATCACTGAAAAAAAAAAAAAAGGCACATTTGAAAGTGCATCATTACCATAAAAAAGAAGCAAGAATAAGATATATGTCCCAGACCTTTCATGTAAAGTGCTCTATGACCTGATCTAAGTCTAGTATAGACCCTTTTTTTTTTTTTTTGGTTTGGGTTTTTTTTTTGTTTTTTACAATTGGTCCACTGTTATTTTTCTGGGATAGTTAACTTTAGGGCTCTTGTTGAAGAAGCACAGAGAAATCCTTGCTTGTTTTTGTTTCTTTTTTCATGTGGTGTTTAGCAATGAAAAATAATTTTTTGTGTGTTTTATTTTTTATTACTAGAGAGCCAAAGGAAGGAGGCATGCCCATGGATATCTCTGTAACTCCATCCTCCCTTCAGATGAAAACCCCTGAAGGCTGCACAGAGGTCCGGCTTCCAGCAGAGGTCAGGCTTGTACCTTCTTCTAGCCGTGGGCTGCGGTATGTTGCCGGCGATGGACTGCATCTGCGGCTGCAGGCGCAGGCAGAATTCAGCACAAGTATGTAATGCTAGCATTCCTGTTTCTGCACTAACTTTTTCATTATAAATGAAAGGTGATTTTTCCTTTAAAAAGTTGAACTTTTCCCAGGTGAAAATAGCTGCTCATCAGTGACATGGAAAGAGCTGAGGGTCAAGAGGATCTAGGTTCTTTGCCAGCTCGGAGTTGAAGGTGTCACTTAACCTTTCTAAGGCGTTGTTTCATTGGGATTTTTTAGTGTTTTTTTCCCCTCAATAGACTTATTTTTTTAGACCAGTTTTAGGTTCATAGCAGAACTGAGCAGAAGATGCAAAGATTTCCTTGTACTCCTGCTTTGTCTCTTTAATTGTAAAATTGCATGGTTCCCATGTCCAACATGAAGAGTAAATCAGATGGTTTGTGCAAGACCTAGTTTATTTTAAAGCATTTCATAGAAATTCATTAACTCAATGAACATTACTTTATACTATGCTAGGCATGATCTAGGTTCCAGGGATAGAAAAGTGAACAGTCTGCCCTCAAGGAGCTTACATTCAAATGTGTGGGAATAGATAATGACCAAGTTAATTACTTGGATATAGAGAAAAGCCCTGTGGGCTAAGTAAACCAGAATAATGGGATGGGGAGTACCTGGGGATGGGTGGAGAGCAGTCAGGGAAGGCCATTCAGGGGAGGTGATTAAAAAAAATTTTTTTTTAATCCTCTCCTGAGGACATTTTTTTATTTCTTTTAGAGAAGAAGGGAGAGAGAGATGCATCTGTGTGAGAGAGGAAAATCTATTGGTTGTTTTCTATACATGCCTGGACCTGGGATCATAATACCTCCAGACCAGGGATTGAACCAGCAACCTAGGTATGTGCCCTGACCAGGGAATCATACCTGCAATCTTTTCGTTATGGGATGACACTCCAACCAACTGAGCCACACCAGCCAGGGTGGGGAGGCGATGTTTGATCAGAATGATGGAAATGATCCTAGCCATGTAGAGACATTTTCAAATAGAGGGAACAGTACAAATAAAGATTCTGCAACTGAGTTTCATGCATAATTTGATTTTGATTGTTGCTATGCCTGTCACATTTCCAATATTTTGTACTGTCACATTGATTCATGAAGATAGAAGTATTTCTCAGAATGATTTATTGAATAAAATTACTGGTTTATTGCATCTCTTACCATGTAAGTAATATATTTTGGAGGATTAAAATGATGTAAAAATGGGAAACAAAGGCTGTAACAGACTGATATTAAGCTCATTATCAGAGAAGGGTATTAAGTTTTCCAGCTGTGCCCTCAGCCTTCACTGAGGCCCCTTTTTCACTGAGACTTTCATCTGCGCTGCGTGCAGCCTGGAGGTGGGGTTGTTTTGAAGGGCCATTTCAGAGGTGGGAGCATATTTCAGTGCCCCTGAGTCTCTTTGCTGGCTTTTTAAAGGAAAAAGAAGATAGAGGGAGTTTTGTACCTTTTTTGCTGGAGAGTAATTTTGCTCAAGTCCTGGATTGATGAATCACTAATGTGAGTTGGGTAGAGTTAGTTTTAGGGATAAGAGGTAGGGAAAAGAAATGTCATGGAGATTAAATAGTGTTTGGCATAAGATAAACACTAAGAATGACTGGTGGAATATTCAGGGAAAGAAGAATGGGTCACGGAGATGGGAAACACACTAACAGACCCTCTGAGTGTACCTCCTAGTAGGCAGAGGAAGTGGCGTTTCCGGAAAGAAGCCCTGGGGGTCTGGCCCGTATCAAGCCATCACCTTCTCTTTAGCAATGATGAATAATAATAGTAACCACAGCAGGAATTTTTTTGTCTGCGTATAACTTGGGGAAAAACAGTCATGAAAGCCACAGTGGGCTGTTTTCAGAGCTGCTAGTTCTCTGAGACCACAATTTTAGGTCCCACACTGAGAAGGTATGAGACCTTTCATATGCAGAATTGCTTTGCTGCCTACCCATATTCTGTAACAGTTACTATACAAATGGCAAAACCAGAATTATTTAAAAATATTTAAAATCAAACATTGTTTAATTTTGACTGGAGGACAAAATAAATTGACTGCTCTGTGTTGGTTTGCATATTGTTTGCATTCATTAGTCTCCCGTTTCTTTATATTTCTAAAATGTGCTTTACTGAAATATCTGAAAAGAAAAGCTTTCAAAGCCCTGTTCTGTGGTGCATGAAAGGGGTATGCAAAATAGTCCTCAGTGCTTAATTGCTTCAGTGCTTTCCACATAATAAGTGCTGAATGAACAAATATCAGATAGATGTATACCGATGTACACTTGAATCAGAATGTATTGCAGGAAGTGAGTTTTGAAATTTTTAGCGTTCAGTTGTGATTCACAGTTTTTAAAAACTTGACTTTTCAGCTGTATGAACTTTCTTCTAAGAACTATAGTAAACATACTGTTCTACTGATTTGAAGGTACCCTAGGTCTGATTATGACCCTTACATGGAACATAAAGTCTGATACAGCACAAGCATTAGGATGCCCCTTTATCAGAAAGCTATGACTTGAACCTGAGCCAGAGGATCATGCTGGGTGACCAGCAGAGGGAAGTGTTCACTGAAAATTTGTTTACTGGTTCTGAAAAGAATATTTTGGATGCCTTACCCAGGTCTACTTAATTTTACAATACATACCAAGTAACATAAACCAAATCTAAATTGCTTGATTCTGCCCTGGTTGGTGTGGCTCAGTGGCTGAGTGCTGACCTGCAAATCAAAGGGTGTCTGGTTCGATTTCTAGTTAGGGCACTTGCCTGGGTTGTGGGCCAGGTCCCTTGTAGGGAGCATGCAAGAGGCAGTCACACATTGTTGTTTCTCTCCTCTTTCTCCCGCCCTTCCCTTCTGTCTAAAAATAAATAAATAAAATCTTTAAAAATAAATAAATAAATAAGTAAATAAATTGCTTGATTCTAATGGACATGACCTCATTTCTTTAGATTTTTCTAAATAGACATATATTTCTGTGTGTGTGTGATTTTTCTCATGGGGAAGGGGGGAATGAAATTTTTTTCCATGAATAAAATAAAGGAAACTAAGAGAACATACTGCCTTATGCTGCACTTCACATAATGTGGGCAATGTATGTTTTTCAACAGCTTTGATCAGAAATTGAGTTTTGCTGTTGGAAGATTGAATTCTTCTTAGGAGCCATTCCATTCTCAGGAACCTGTCCAATAAAAACCAGTTTCAGGATTTATTTTGTTTGTACATACTAGTAATATGCTAGAGTGGACATAAATCTTGTTTAAATCAAATTAAATTTAAGAGTTTTATTTACCAGTAGTCACACTGATGGAAAACTATACCTCAGGCATAGCAGAAGAATGCTGAGCATGGTGAAGCTTTGAGTAGTTAGCCTGGTGTAAAAGAAACTGCCCCTTTTCCCTCATTGTTAACGCTGGTATTTATGGAATAAAAAAAGTAACAGTAGGTTACTTAGCTCTGAAACACTTAGCAAAATCTGTTGTTTTTGAAAATACTTCACAATATTTACGTCTGGTCGAGTCATCAGATAATACTAATTAAGTCATCAGATAATACTAATTAAATGTGTAGATCATGAACAGTATTGATCAATGGTAATTTATTGTGGCTATTAAACTCTTATACATATGTTAACATATTTGTCCCAAACCTCTAAGATGTCTGTTTTTGTTGATTTCCTTTAGAACTGATTTCAATGTTTAATCAAAGCTCACACACCCGAGGCTGTTGCACATTTTATTGCCAATCCTGTGGTGAAGTCATAATCAGGGACAGGTAAGGAATGTATTTTACACTGGTTAGTTCTGTGCCTGGCAATGGTTTTCTCTTTCCTATCAGAACTTTTGAGGTACCTGCCAAGGGAACAGTATACAGCCTTGAAGTGAGAGCCAGCTTCATGTTACTTTGAACATCAGCCATAAGACTCTCCAGCAATCACGGAGCAGTTAGTTGTTCTCAGGGTGCAGAGTGGAACAGTAGGGTGCCTACTCTGATGAAGAGAGGGTTCTCTTGGTGGAAGAGTCTGTTGATCCCTGAAACATCTCTCTTTTGAAAAAAATATGGGGCCTACTGCATGTTTACTGTGTTGGTGAATGAGATTCTTCTCCACATTACATGAATTTTCTAAATGACAAGCTTTTGTAGTACAACTTTTTATTTGAACTATTTTTATTAGTGCCTTTCTAAAATCCATTTCCTATTTTCTCTGCTTATTAAAGCAGAGCATCTAGAGAACACAAATTAACCTTTTCTTGATGATTAGGTTAACGGTATAACCTGCTCTTTCAATGTGCTGTGATTACCCCACTGAGAGGGAAAGGGCTCTTTGCTGCACTCTTTGCATTCCCTGGTTGTCTCTTTAATTATTTTCCCATCGGCTCCCTTCCTCCTGTGAGCCTCCTTGTTTCTGGGCACAAACCCTTCCCCCTGAATTTTCAGCTTCTGATCACTCATAAGCTGGAAAGACAGTTAAAAGCCATAATCCTATTAACAGTATTTATAAAAAATGATCTAAAGTTCTTCAATAGGTGCATTTCCTCTGAGACAAATGCCTGAGACTTACATGTGAATGGATCCTTCTCCACATCTAAAACCCGCTCCTCTTCCAGGGCTCCTTGTCTCAGGGCAGGCCACACCTCTGCCTGCATCCTCAAGGTAGAATCCTGGTGGTGTCTGCTTGGGTTCCTCCCTGTCCCCCCTGTACAGTCAATCATTAGGCACTTTTGCTGCTTCCTTCCCTGCATTTCCTACAAGTCCACTTTCTTCCACCCCAGTGCTCCTACCTCAGGAGAGCCTACTATCTTCTCACCTGATAGCATTTGTTGCCAGCTCCTTATCTGCATAGCCTTCCTCTAGGTTCACTTTGTCATCACTTTTACACTTCTGAGGGATTATTCCCAAATGCAGTCGGCTCCCCTGTTCAACCCTGCCATATCTTCCAAGGTAAATTTTGTAAGACCTTAGCATGCCATGCTAGGTCCTTTCCACTCTCTTGTTTTAGCCCCTTTTTCTCAACCTCCTTTCTTGTTTCCCAAAACAACACACCCTTATTTACACACATTCTGTGCACAGCTCAGCCTTCCTGCATCCCCCAGTCTCTCCATGCTGTCCTCCACCCTAACTGGAGTAATGAATACTCTCTCCCTTGGAATGCAGCCCATAACCTCCTCTCCCTCTGGCTAGCTCCTAAGTTCAGCCCACAGGGCATCTACTGCCAGGAGCCTTCCCTGAACACTAGGTGGATTTATGCGTTCCTCTGATGTTTATTTGCCTGTCTTCCTGATTCAACTGTAGGCTCTGGGGGTGGGGATAGTCACTGATCCCTGTATCCCTGATCTGTGCTCATATTTATAGTGCAGGTTGTCATAGTGGTTAGTAGTGCAGACTCAGAAGCCAGACAGTTTGGGTTTGCATCCACCATTTACTAGACATGATCCTGGGCAAGTTACTCAAGCACTCCATGGCCTCAATTTCTGTATTACAAATAATATAGATAGCAATAGGAGCTACATCATAGGGTTGTTTAGAGGATCAAATGGGTTTAAGTGTTTATAACCATGCCTAGCGCATGGTAAGTATTCAGTATGTGGTAGCTGCTGCTGTAATTATTTTTACTATCATTTCCAGCATCAGGCGCCATTCTTGGTGAATAGTGCGCTCTCAATAAACTCTTGCTGGGTTGAACTGAATAAACATTAGGGTGTTTATTTTGGCCTTCTGCCATTCTCTCTTGCTTGCTTTATGATTCCTGGCAATGTCTCAAGTAGATGAAATAACAGAAAGTTACCTTAATGGAAGCGGGGGGTTGTGAGCAGAGCATCCTCAGAATGATTATCTTGGGTAAGACATGAGGTGGCTCTCAATCTGTAAAGGAGAGGGGAACGTCCTTGCTCAGATTACCGAAGGGCTGAAGTTGCTGCAGTGTGTGCACTCCGTGACAGGCTCACTTTGGTTAGCCTGAGCGGTTTAGAGGATCCCAGTTTACATGGTAGTTTAACCAGGAAAGCTTTCCTTCCCAGTCTATTTCAGACTTTGGTTTCATTCTCACGTGAAGTTTCTCAAACATGTGTGCCTGCACAACAATGAGGTGACCTAGTAGTTACAGTAGGAACAGGTGAAATGCAATGTAACAGTGTTTCCTGGTACTGCTTACACTAAAGGATATGCTTGCTCATTATTGGCCGACATGTGTTTCGTTGGATAAGAGTGATGAATATGAAAGACTTTTATGTGTAACCCCAATTTTTCTATTCAGGAAATGTATCTTCTGTTTCGTGTCAATCCTTATTACGATCTTGGGATTGAGAACCTAGGAGAGCTTAGAAGCTAACACTGAAAAACCACAGTATTGATTCTCCTTAACCCTGACCACTAGGAGGAAATGTAACATAGAGGTGAGAGGGAGAGAGTGGGACCTGGGTTTGAAATCGGCTTCACCACTTAGTAGCTAGGGAACCTATTCATACCACCTCAGCTGCTGCTTCTTTCTTTTTAAAATTAAATTGATTAGGGTAACATTGGTTAATAACATGCGTTTCAAGTATATAATTCTATATTACATCATCTCCACATTACATTGATGCTCACCACCCATAATCTAATCTCCTTCCTTCACCATGCATTTGACCCCCTTCGCCCTTTTCATCCTCCCCCCACTCCTCTTTCCCTCGAGTAGCCGTCATACTGTTGCTGTGTCTGAGTTTGTTTGTTGCTTTCTGCTTATATCCCACATATGAGTGAAACCATGTGGTTCTTGTCCTTTCCCATCTGACTTATTTCCCTTAACATGAATATTCTCAAGATCTATCCATGTTGTCACAAATGGTACTATTTTGTCCTTTCTTATGTCTGAGTAGTATTCCATTGTATATTTCTGCCACATTTTCTTTCTTTTTTTTTTTTTAAGATTTTATTTATTTATTTTTAGAGAGGGAAGGGAGGGAGGGAGGGAGAGAGAGAGAGAGACATCAATGTGCGGTTGCTGGGGGTTATGGCCTGCAACCCAGGAATGTACCCTGGCTGGGAATCGAACCTGGGACACTTTGGTTCCCAGCCCGCGCTCAATCCACTGAGCTACGCCAGCCAGGGCTTATATTTCTGCCACATTTTCTTTATCCCGTCATCTATTAAGGGACACTTAGGTTGTTCCATGTCTCCGCTGCTGTGAATAATACTGCAGTTGACACAGGGGTACATACATCTTTAAGAATATATGTTTTTAAATTTGGGGGTAGATACCCAGAAGTCAACTTTCCCTTAACTAGACATAAAAAGGCCTATTTGCCAAACTTGTGAAGAGAGTTAAAGGCTGTAGCACATAGAATATTAATACTCAACAAGCCCTTTTTAATTGGTTCTATAAACTCCTTCCATACTCCCTTTTCCATAACTGGTCTTACTAGCGAACTAGTAAATTACCTTGTTTAGTATTTCAAATCTTTTTTATTCAGGACTGTGTTTTTTAGATGTACCAGGGGATTGACCCAGCTTTCTCCTGTTTCTTTCTGAGAAGGTAAATAGTGGACTTAGCTCTTGCTTCACTTAAGCAAGGTCACCTGAAAGCTGTTTTCCTATCATGTGCATGTGGCGTGTGTATGCCTCTTAAACAACAGAGAAATCCTTAGCAGGCAGTTTAAGACCTAGCTTACATCCCACTGTCAGGCAGTATGCCCTGTGACTTTGTTTCATGGGAAAACGTTATTCCTCCAGTATCTGAGCTGGGATTTCATGTTGACTGTGTATATTGAGCCCAATGGTCTTATCATTTCTATCATTTCTCCCTCAGTTATCTATTTTATGCAGTGAATAGGGCACCTTCTGTTCTTGTTAAGTAGAAAATAAAGCAAATGTATTTCAGTATTTCAAAAAAAAGGCTTGTATATGCTCTAACAAAATCAACTAATTATAGACATCTTTACCAAGAAGGCACCTTGGAATGCGTTGATTTATCTGCTCTGGGAGTTCCTCTAATAGGAGCATTAGAGCAGACTTAAGATCCACTTACCAGCTAGCCTTATTACTGGGAACAAGTCACTTTAAAAAAAAGATTTTATTTATTTGTCTATAGAGAGAGAAGAAGGGAAGGGAAGAGCGAAGGAGAAAAACATTGATTGGTTGCCGCTTGCTTGCCCCCATCTAGGGACCTGGCCTGCAACACAGGCAATTCCCTAACTGGGAATTGAACCAGTGACCTTTTGGTTCACAGGCGGGTTGTCAGTCCACTAAGCTACACCAGCCACGGCAAAGGAACAACTCACTTTAATTCCCTGAGCCTCAATTTCCTCATCTAGAAATTTAGGAGATTGGATTAGATAAACCCGTGAGCCCTGCCAGCATGAAAATTCTGTGATTAGTGAACCTCATAAAGTTGTACCTGGGTTCTGTGATTTGTGTAATTTGGATACTGCAAGACTAATGCTCTTCCTTTTTTTTTACTTGTCAAGCAAATTATGAAGTAAGGTGCACAGGACTATTTAACCTATTAAGACTCATTAATGGCTTTTAGTACTTATTAGTACCAGGGCACATGAAATCAGCTAAATACTGTAGTCTTTTTCTTAATTTAGGATTACATATTCTTAGCTATTTGTTTTGGTTATTTGAAAACAAGTACTGCTTTGTTTCTTTACAACAAAATTTTTCAATTTACATTTTTCAGCAGAGTTCTACAAAAATTGTCTCAACATGTACTATTTTGTATTATGTTCTTATTGAGACTAACAGACCTTAGTATCAATCATTAATAATAGCAGAATTTACCTCTTTGTGAATAGTCT